AAAGAGGCAGACACAAGAGCTTCTGTTTGCTTACGTTGTCTATATCAAAAGGAACAGATACATGAGCTTCTGTTTGCTGGAGTTGTCTATATTAAAGGTTCAGACAAAAGAAATTCCGTTTCGTGTAAGACCAGACATTATGCACCATCTTAACTTTCCTACCAAGAGTACACGTTTAAAGAAAATTGCTGCAAATAGACCATTATGAAGGTTCAATTTTTTCGAGGATAAAGCCACTACAACAACAATGTAGATTTAGTTAGTGTAATGTCACTTGGAGAAACCCGTATATGCTGTGACAACTGCATCATTCTCAATTTAGGTCCATCGTGTGATATGTTTTGTTTGCACCATGGCTTTAATGCAGGATATGAAAATTTTGTCTAATACGCAGGAAGAAAATGTGCTCCTGTTTACCTGCAGCGATGGAGCAGTGTTGACAACGTTACAAGGTAGCACGTGGCAGATATCACAATAAACCGATAATATCATAATAAAGCTCGTCTAAATCATCTTACATAGTTTTGATGTGTATATTTCGTTGTCGATTAAATTTGAATCTGTGATGCTAGATATATCGAAGGATCCAGTCAACGTGCTCATGTATTAATGCGCAAAGACGATATTCTAAGGCTTAGATGACCTTGGGGTTAAAACAGCCTTCCGGCAGATATGTTCTGTATTTTTTGTCATGACAAAGTTACAGAAATAATATTAAAATGTTAATGTAGAGGTATTTATTTTATCGATTGTTGAAACGTTCTCGTATGTTATTTTCAAAGCATCTATTCTTCTCATATATAGCCGGATGTTCGTCCACCTAAACCTTATCAGTTTGGGAAGTATCACGATGATTACCTAGGAGTTTCTTTCAGAGTCGAAATCAATAGATTTGCATTATTAAGTGACAAGGACATTCAGAATGAGTCCCATTCAAACCGACTCTCGACTGACTCCTTTCTCATCCTCAGGATACGAAGGTTCGGTCTCAAAAATCTTACTCAGGGTCACCCACCCAGTTCGACTTTTATCGTTATACAAAGGACAGCCAAACCAAGGCGAGGAATAGGTATGGAGGTGGGTTGCAAAGTCATATAAAGACGAGGCGACCTAGGTTAGGGACTCTCGCCTAAGAGTAAATAAAATAGTAATTTAAGCAAAGTATATAATTAACATCCTTCATGTCATATATGTTGGTATAAAGCAAATTATTTGATATACCTATGCTATTGGTACGTCAAATTGTGATCCGCCCATCGTGCATTAATACGCATATATATATATATATATATATATATATATATATATATATATATATATATATATATATATATATATATATATATAGTTTCAATATTATGCTATAGTCCAACAATATCTTATAGCTTCTATACTCTCAAAATCTGTGGTGAATTTCCACTGATTAATTATTAACGTTGTAATAAAAAAAAACCCATAATAATACAATAATAATCTCCGTTTACTAAATGAATTAAGTATAGTGAAGAATTTCATCGAAATCATCACTGCTCCCCCACCCCTCATGCATAAGAAAGATAATACGGGGAAGTATGTGGAGTGAGAAGATAAAAAAGATAACTGAACTTGCACCGAGAACCTACAAGAAATTGGAACTTCTTAACGGTTACGTATAAAGTTCCTTGGGATTTCGATATTCACACTAACAATGATACAAAGTTGCTATAGCCTGTCAAGATTTGTACGGTACATTTATTTGTAAGGAGGAATACACATATTCTAATCTGTTTAATACCTTGTTTATTGGGATTGTTTTCTTCATGATTTGTAAAACTTATTAACGTGGGTCTAAAAACATATTATTAATATTAAAATGTTCAAAGACCGATCTTTCTCTATCACTGCGTGTGTTGCTATCTATCACTGCGTGTATTGGTAAGGTCAGACTAAACGACCACTATAGAAACAATTGGATGGCCAATGAATGAATGCTTTTATGGTAAGTCTTCATCATCTCTCTCTCTCTCTCTCTCTCTCTCTCTCTCTCTCTCTCTCTCTCTCTCTCTCTCTCTCTCTCTCTCTCTCTCTCTCTCTCTCTCTCTCTCTGGACCTTCTTGGAAAGATACTTGCAAGCATCCATTTGAAAAAATAAAAAAATAGTTTGTCGGATTTTATATGTTGTTTACAATGATAATTGCAATATACAATCACGGACAAAGTTAATCACACAATACAGATATGCATAACTCCAACAACAAATCTGATTGTTGTACCTATGATAGTTTATGTGGTCAAAATTCCAGCCACACCCAGAAGAACGGTGGTTGTTGAGGCGATTTCGCAAATAGCCTTTACGAAGACACACACGTTTGTATCTCACGAGCTGCGCGAATTTGGGCGATTCGTTTCGTACCTGTTTTTGTTTTAGCTTCGATTTTTTTTTCCGATCGGTAATTTTGAGGGTCTATCCTCGTTTTTCTATTAGTAACGTCATCGCGAAGTATAATTGCTTGACATAATGGCTAACTTCAGGTGCAACAGGCACTACCAACCAGTTATTTATTTTTACTGGTACAACTTTCGTACAATCATATAAAATATATTTCGGGGGAATTTTATATGTCCGGCAATTCTGCGTTATTGGTCCCTGGCATAACGTTCATATAAAACCGTACTGATTCTACCATTTAATAGTTTTTGAATTGATTGTTCTCGTCTTCGCCCAAAAACTCTTACACGGACAAGCGCCTCCAAACTGAATAGCAGTCGGAAACCGTGGTTGATTTGTCGATGAACTCCGCCTCATTGGTGTAGAAACAATTTCTGGTTGTGCAGTCAACAGCCGGGTGTTTTCACGTACTAATGCAATGATCTCAAGATGGCTTCAAGTTGATATTGTCCCAACAGGTTGGTCCCAACTGATGATTTCCATTCGACCCGTAACCAACTTATATTTCAATTTATAAGAGGGTTAGTAAATAACCTTTTATGAAGATATATCAACAAGTGGAACAAAATCACCATCAATGATGGCATCACTCATTAGCCGGTCCAACATCCCGTGGGCACATTTTGCAACCTCTTTTTCGGGGTCAGAATTCATCACTTAATACGTAATGATGAATCTGATCTTAAACAAACGCCAAAGACGTTTAAGTACCCGTCTGGCTAAACATCTAGTCCTTCGAACTGAATTTCATCTATAGCGACTAACTGCATATGTTAAACGTTCTGCAACAACAGTTTATGGTCTGTCAATACGTGATAATGATTAAGGAATTAGTAGTAGATATGAAATCATCAATTTCCCTCGGGAACACTAATGGAGAATGATTTAGGAATGAGCATCAGCCATTTAGTCACCAAACACCTAATGGGTCACTAATGGAGGATGATTTAGGAAGCAGTATTAAATATGCAGTCATCAATTTCCTAAGCGGGGGCCCCAAATGGTCTAAAGCAATGACCGTTACAGATCACTGCCATCTCACCTCTGTCTGCGCGAGTTAGAGTCCAGAATCGGCTGACGTGGGTAAGTGAGAAAGCCTGTCAGCAGCTTCTCGTGGGTCGGTGGTTCTTCCCTGAGTTTTCCAAGGTTCTTTCTCCACCATTTGTACTAGCCGCCATGTACAGCCTATCTTGTGCTGAAAATGGCGTTAAACACTACAACAACAACAACAACAACAACGACCAACATTCCTTCAGTTCATCTTCCCACTGTCTATTATATTCTAACGCCAGATAAATTTTTTTCGCTGACAGTATGTGTTGTGAAACACATACAACAGATATTTTTAATGTGCGATCGTATCCGCACTAAATCCTAAGCGCAATCATGGGTGAACTAAAGTTTTGTAACAGAATTTCTTGTACAAGTTTCTTAGATCGTAAGCAAAAAAGTGTGAAGAACTCAACCCTGAAATCGTCGTGTATATTTTTGGAAAAGCTGCCGTTGTCTGAGTGAACTATGTCCATAAGCCCAAATACATACAGGCAGGCAGGTCGAGGTTGCTATGCTGCTGTTGAGCAAGATAGATAACTTTAACTGCTCTGATCTTTCAGCGACGCAGTACCACACTTGTATGAAAACTTCTTCTCGAATTGTTTGTAGGCACAACAAAGAACACGGCAGTTTCCTTATTGACGCTGCATGCACGTATTTAGCACCCACCGTTTGCTTGTTGGCCACGAATTTTACTGCTGGTTTGTCACCGCAGAGCCGCAGCGTGCGATTACACTGGAACCTGGCAAGAATATTCAGAATTTTACAGCCGAGCAACTGAAGATTAAAACATGGCTTTTACACGGATTTCTAATAAGTCAACGTTCAAATGAAAGACCAAAGGTTGTTTTGTGAAGATTCACTGCCAGACTCTCGCAGTTCAATCAGAAACGACGAAAATGCTGAAGAAACACCGTCAGGGTTTTGCCATGTTCTTGTTGGATGTGAAGGACAAACGTAACAGCTAATGTTGTACCGTTGTAGGTTGAAGTGTTTATTAAATCGCTCAAGGGTGATCACTCGCCAATACGGACATGTGGTAGTCGGCAAAACCCTACTGAATGGTACTATGAAGCTGCTTACGCGCAAAAATCTACCCCTGTGCATAAATGGGCGATCAGGAGATGTTTTATGAAATGCAGTCGAAACCGACTGTACTCTTTTCGTTCGTAAGCATCCTGAGAAGGCATTTCCGCAAGCGAGCAACGTCTTTTCGGTTGCCTATCGCGATCTGTATCTGTGCACGGATGTGCTGCTTCTCATGGATGTCTTTAATGCGTGTCGCGATACTGACATGCGTGTGAACACGCTTGATTGCTTCTCATCATCGGGAATGTTTTTGGATGTACTGCACTGTGACAATTAATAGCTTATAGTGATGTCTTGCACTGGGGCATCATGTCACAGACATCTAACATGATGTCCCACCCAGTCACAATATCCTGACACCAGGCCGACACGTCCTAACACTAACCCATTAACGTTGTGCGCCAAGTACTACTTTTATAAGTCTTTGGCATGATTCGACCGGGGATTGAACCCACGACCTCCCGCATTCGAGGCGTACTCTCAAACTACTAGGCCACCGGAACGGTCTATTCGGAATCTACTTGAATACCAAGACGAGCTTTACCCCCCCCCATGATTATCCACTGGCCCAGGAAGATTTGCTGCCGGCTCGCAAGTGGTTGCCATGGTACTAACGTGCGCTCATGGACAATTCCGGGCATAGGTACACTGAATGATAATGCACCAAACTGGTTCCTAGCCTGCACCCGAAACTAAACTATGTTGTCAATGTATGAAATTGCAACTGTATCTGTGGCTGGGACTACACATGTCAAGAATCCATCAGGTGATGTTGTTTCGCCTACGCGCGTTGATGACATCTTGCATTAAGATGAATGAAAATTTGCAAACAGCCGCCATAAACCTATCTGTAAAGGATTTCATCAAGCTGAACAAAAATAACCTTGCCCTACAACCATACGCCCGCCACTGCAACTCGACCCTGAGATCACGTCAGTACCATTACCACTACAACCCTATCCTTGGCACTACAAACCTATCCCTTGCACTACAACCCTATCCCTGGCAGTACAACCCTACTCCTGCCACTACAACCCGTCCTGTGCCACTATAACCCTTCCTTTGCCATTACAACCACTACCTCCGTCACTATAAGCCAAACCCTTTAATGTAAACAAAAACCACCTCATAAATGCAACAAAAAGAAAGAATTTGCTAAATTCATTTAGAAGGTATAAACATTTAATCTTGTTATACAGACATATATAAAAGAATTTTTTAATCTTGTTATACATACATACATACATAAAAGAATGAATATATAAGCTGGTTATACTCATATGCATACAAACACATCTACTTTTTATTTGCATATGTTAAGCAAAGTAATTGCACTACCACAATTTCAAAGTAATGAGTCCTTCACACAAAGAGTCCAAGTTTTCTTTAATAAAAAGAAAATAAAACAAGCACTGAAACTTCATGTGTGCCACAGACAAACAATCATCATCTACTCATAAGAAAAACCAAATATCAAATATCGTTAACAGATATTAAGTTGAAATATAAAATCTAGTTTTAAAAGAACTAGATAAATCAGATGTTGTTTGTTTATCTGAATGCAATGGTTTCCTTAACTGCTTAATCTCAAATTGAAAATGGACTCTTTTTTTATAACTGCAGGATCAACATGGTGATTAGCTTTACACAGACCAATCTTTTCAATTTATATTGAGTGAGTGATGTTCCTTTGTATGTTAATACAAATTGTGATGAAATCATTTGTGTGTGTGAAACAAATTATGTGATTTCAGCTACATTTTGAGATATTCATGCAAATTCACTGAGCATGCATACATCATTCAAAAAGTTGAACTGAACAAACTATCTTATGCAACATGTATCAGCAAAGAAATGCTAACTGTAATAAAATTTGACCTAAAATACAAAGATAAAAATTGCAATTTGTATATTGTTGTCACTCAACTGACTTACTCTTTTGTTAATTTAACAATTGGCTGATAACACAGCTTGATTCAGTTAACAACATTTTATTATGAATTAGACTGGTATTCATATACCACATCCACTATGCTTTTATATCCCACATCTGCTACAGAATTCATAGCACCTATGTATTAGTCAGCATATCCCACATATGCTATTCTGCATATTCCATTATCTCCAATAGTATTCTTAGCCCACATGTACTAGTAAGTATATCCAAATCGTTTTTAGCATATCCCACATCTACTAGTCAGCATATCCCACATCTACTAGTCAGCATATCCCACATCTACTATTCAGCATATCCCACATCTACTAGTCAGCATATCCAACATCAACTAGTTTTTAGCATATCCCACATCTAAATACAGTATTCATATCCCACATCAACTACAGTCAGCATTTGCAATGTAGATGTTACATGCAACAGAGCAGTTTAGCTGGGCACAAAAGAGTTTCTTACGCCAAATTTAAATTTGTTTCTCAGTTAAGAAGTGTATGCAGGATTTATGGAAGAAATACACACACCCTTTAACACATTATACTCATTGGATATAAAATTGAAAACTATTTAAAAATTGAACTGAGAGAATTTAAAGCTTGGAAACTTTCATTAAAGTTGACAAACATACCATCATCTTAAACATTGGTCAAAGCACTCATAACACCTTTGGACAAGTTAAAAACCAACATTTAAATAAAGATGACAAACATACCATCATCTTAAACATTGGTCAAAGCACTCATAACACCTTTGGACAAGTTAAAAACCAACATTTAAAAATCTCATAGACTCCATTTCCTGTGATGTATTTTTGTACAAAAAATTTACTTTGACAATGGGAACCAATTAATATTTGACTTAGTTTATTGAACAACATGGCACCACCATTGGTGACCATTCAAAACTTGCATTGCTTTGCTAAAATACCTGCACATATGGAAAGAAAAACTTTTGTCATAAATTTTGGATACAAAAAATAATTATTTTTTTTTACCTTAAGGGGACCATATAATTTTAGAATAACAGATGCCTGTCTGTTTGGTGGATTTGTCTGTCAAGTGTGGCAATCAAAGTACTGATTTTACCATACTGAAACTGTTAGAAGGCAGCCAATGAATCATAGATTGAATGACTGGGGATAGGGCCTACACAGAGTTAAAACATTACAGACAGGTATGAAGATAAACCATTTGAAAACAGTGGAAAGGGTCCTTCAGGATATCTTGCAGTGTTATCATCTTATCAATTTGGTGTATATTTCAGAATATGGGCATACTAGAATATCTTGCAGTGTTGTCTTCTTATCTATTTGGTGTATATTTCAAATTTGTAAAACAAGTCAAAAAAGGGGTAGGCCTTCCTACTTGCTAAAGTTTTGTTAAGCTCATTTCAGGAAGCACTATTTTTTTTTTTTAATTTGCCCCTTTTTTGTATCTAGAAAATGATTCAAATGAAGATTTGTATGTTTATATGTGATTGTATCAATAATATTATCTGGGAAATAGATACAATTTTGGGGAAAAAAACTTCTCTGTGATACAAAGGATGTACATAACAAACACTTCAGATTCTGTGAATAATGTAAAGTAGAAATGAGACTGTGCAGGGAAGATGCCTCAGCTATTAATAGAATGGCATAGTACTATACTTTAGGAGGTCATAACATCCCAAATTTTGCTGGAATTTAGTGAAACTTAAATTGTCCAAGGTGTTCCTATTGTAAAGTCATATAAAAAATTAGTTTTCAATCCATGAAACATGCATGGTGCATGATGTGAAGGGTCAGATGGACATGGCCAGGCTTACACGCAGATACCCTTTATAAAATTGCAATAACTTTGTACACTGAGCCCTCTCATACATACAGCTTGTACATTATTTGTTAGTCCTAAGCCTAGTCATGTGAACAATTCATAAACTTAATTATGCATCCATGCAAGAAGAAAACAAACATCACACTTGGAGACCCTGATATGGGTCAATTTACCACCGCAAAAAAATTGAGAACAAGCATGTAAAAAAAAATTGTTTTAACTTCACAATTACTCATCTCAGGTAAAAAGAAATCCATCAATGGTTTAGTTAATATAAGGTAACAAAACAACAATAATCCAAACAATGATGTGAATTTTCTCTATGGCCTTGATCTAAATGTAAAGGAATATGTATGCATATAACTGAATGAAATATTTCAATGTTTTATTACTCTATGTAACAGAAAAGAATGAAAACCAAAAAGTTTTGTAAAATTCAAGAAATAATTTATTTCCCAAATAAGTACAAAGTGAAAGTTTCAAAATAAAAGTCCTAAAAATTTCAGAAATCCAAATAAATAAAGTTCCAAATAAGTTCCAAGAATAAATGTGTTGATGTGCCTGTAGTCTTGAATATGTTAATATGCCAATGACCTGGAGCCTGAAAGTGTACTAACAGTCTTCTGATGTCTCACTGTTTCACAATAATATAATCCAAAATTTGTCATTGTCTAAATTCAGTATAGTTTCAAATTAATATTTCTGACCAAGAAAATTATTGATGAGCACTTTGTATTTCCAGTGAATAATAAATTGAATAAATAATTTCACAAAAATCAAAAACTGGACACAACAATAAGACTATTTCATTTTCAAGATGATATGGGAAGAATAAGCAATTTTTGATAAACAAAATTATATACCCTTCTAGGTCACAATTACTTTTTTTCTGGAAATACAATGTCATTTAATAGAAATTTCTAATGTCGGAATTATGACTATATCTTTTAACTCAAATTCAGGTAAACATGTTTACATGATCCTTCATCCTTCATTCAAGAGAAGTAGTGACAAAATATTTTGAAGATAGTCACTGGGGCAGCCATATTGGACATCTTACTGGCACCAATTTCATCTAGGACCGTCGAAAAAGCATAGGTCTTTTTGGCAAAAACCCATGTCAATCTGACATTATTTTCAGAAGTCGTTAATTACAAAAACTATGATGACATTAACATCTATTCAAGAAGAATAACAATAAGACTTTCAAAATGGCCAAATCTTATGTGCACATGCACCATTTTCATTTACAACATATATTATTTTGAGCTCTTACGGTAAAAACTTCATGTAATATAAGTTTCTTTCAGGAGGAGCAGTAACAAGATTTTCATGATGGTCACAGTGGCAGCCATACTTGACATCAGATCGGTATCAATTTTTTTCAAGGACAAACTACATATCACAAAAAGTCTCTTCGTGAAAATCTGATGTTGATATAACCATCTTTTCATAAATAATGGCAAAAACAATATTTCCTATGTGGCAAATATGGTAGCCATATTTAACATCAGACTGGCACCATTTTACTATGACCAAGTAGACATTCGTAAGCCTTCTTGTGCAAACCTCATGTCAGTTTAACTCTCCATTCAGTAATAATAACAAGAATTTCAAGATGGCTTCTCTGGCAGCCATACTGGATATAAGATCGTTACAATATTCATTTAGGACCAACCAAACATACAAATAAGTCTTTGCTGAACAAGCTATAACAAGATTTTAATGATGATTGATG